AATCGACAGGATGGGACCACCTCTACTAGTAGTCAAGAGAAGGCGGACCTCTTTGCTGAACACTTTGCTACCAAAAATGCAAGTTCCTGATCCAGCAAGGGACCCTCCTTGGCTAGCTGCAAGAACTGTGTCAAAACTGTCAGTGGTGACAATAAAGGCAGGAGGAGGTGCATTTCCTTCTAAATCACTTGACCAGGAAAAGGCTGTGGGCCCAGACAAGTTGAGCCCAAGATTGTTGAGAAGATGTGCAGACCCAGCTAGCAGCACCTCTAACTCGCATCTTTCAGCACTGCCTAGTACAGTGCAAATGGCCCTCTCCATGGAAAGAGGCAAATGTAGTCCCTGTTCACAAAAAGAAGAGCAGAGCAGAAATCAGCAACTACAGACCAGTGTCACTCCTGTCAATCACTGGTAAGATCCTTGAGACAATAATTCAAGACAAATGACAGATTTTTTTAACTACCACTCACTACTTTGTGATCGTCAATATGGCTTCAGGAAAGGTTACTCTGCTGCTGATCTGTTGTTAAACCTCTCCACTAAGTGGCACCAGTCACTGGATGAATCCAAAGTCAGCTGTGTGGTAGCACTGGACATTGCTGGCGCTTTCGACCGGGTGTGGCACCAGGGCCTCTTAGCAAAACTTCAAGCACTGGGAATTGCAGGCTCTACGCTTGTCTCTCAGTGATTACCTTCATGGTAGATCTCTAAGTGTAGTCCTCAATGGAACGGAATCAGCAAGGCATCCTATTGGGGCAAGCGTTCCACAAGGAAGTGTGCTGGGTCCACTGTTATGGAATGTCTACTTCAACGACCTTCTCATCTCATCCCAGAATCACATGCATATGCAGACGACTGTACACTGACATTCACTTATCAAGAGAAGAAATGCCAGCTGCTCTAAGCTACATCAATCACCAGCTGAGAGCTATATCAGCCTGGTGAAATAGATGGCAAGTAACATTTGCACCTGAGAAAACGCAAATGATGATCGTCTCTAGGCACCATGATGGTAATGCTGGTGCAGTAGTAAGGATGAATGGGAGGATGTTGGCACCTAGGAGAAGAAGTTGATATCCTTGGGGTGAAATTTGACTCCAAACTATACCATGAAGAACCATGTTGTAAATCTTGCAAACAAGGCAGCCAGGAAGCTTACAGCACTTCGCCGTATCTCGCATCTGCTTGACAGTAGGGGTTGCAAGATCCTGTACGAGGCACAAGTACGCTCACACCTTGAGTATGCTCCACTTTCTTGGTTTGCCTGCCCCCCCTCTCATCTGCGACTGCTTGACAGAGTAGAGAACAGAGCAAGACGTCTCATCTCTCGCCTGGACCCATCCTGGATAGATCTGTCATTCAGCAGAGCCTTCAACATAGGAGGGATGTGGGTGGCCTTACTGTTATGTACAAGGCCAATATTGTCAAAATACCACACTTGGATCCACTTCGAGGACAGCGTGAAACAAGCTTTTATGCCACAAGACGGGCAGAGAAGCAGCAACTTCACTCTGCTGTACCCTTCTCCAGAACATCACTCCATCTGAGATCATACATACCCAGGATGACTCGAGTATGGAACACATTCGTACAGCATAATGATGTCAACGAGATAACGTCAGTTGATCAAATGAAAATGCTGGCCCACAGATGGCTCCAACTTCATCCTGTTCCCTACTTGTATGTCTCATAACAATAAAAATGCTTTCAAATGAGCTGATGTAGGTAACAGCTCTTAGCTTGCCAATGAAGTTAGGAATCCTTAACCTGTAAATAGCTGTCAATAAAGCTAGGGATCCTTAACCTTGTCAAACCCTGTGTAAAAAAAAAAAAAAAAAAAAAAAAAAAGAGAGAGAAAGAGAGAGAGAAAGAGAGAAAGAGAGAGAGAAAGAGAGGAAAAGAGAGAGAGAGAGAGAAGAGAGAGAGAAAGAGAGAGGGGAAAGAGAGAAAGAGAGAGAAAGAGAGAGAGAAAAGAGAAAAGAGAGAAAGAGAAAGAGAGAGAAAGAGAGAGAGAGAGAAAGAGAAAGAGAGAGAGAAGAGAGAGAGAGAAAGAGAGAAAGAGAGAAGAGAGAGAGAAAGAGAGAAAAGAGAGAGAGAAAGAGAGAAAGAGAGAGAGAAGGAGAGAAAGAGAGAGAGAAAGAGAGAGAGAAAGAGAAGAGAAAGAGAGAGAGAGAAAGAGAAAAGAGAGAAAAGAGAGAAAGAGAGAGAGAAAGAAAGAGAGGGGAAAGAGAGAAAGAGAAAGAGAGAAAGAGAAAAAGAGAAAGGGGAGAGAGAAAAGAGAGAGAGGAGAGAGAGAGAGAGAGAGAGAGAGAGAGAGAGAGAGAGAGAGAGAGAGAGAGAGAGAGAGAGAGAGAGAAAGAGAGAAAGAGAGAAAGAGAGAGAGAGAGAGAGAGAGAGAGAGAAAGAGAGAGAGAAAGAGAGAGAGAAAGAGAGAAAGAGAGAGGCAGAGACAGAGAGAAAGAGAGCTTATTGTTTGGGAGTGGAATCCTCCTCCATAAGGACTTCAGGTATCAAGTTCCATTCTGGGGTTACTTCCCTTCTTTGTTTTCTACTGGCGCTAGGACCAGCTTGAGAGTCACTGCACCCCTGTCGCACAAAAAAACTGTCCAGAGAGGTCTGTTTCTGGCGTCTCTAAGATTTGCCTGAAGTGGGACAAGGTTTTGTCACTGAATTCTATCGTGTTTCTCGCTTTCTTTACCAAAGGGCTGGTACTAGGAACTTTCTCCGGGCCCACGGAGGCTTATTTCGCAGTCACACTCAATAAACAACCACAAAAAACCAATGGATTATAACAAAATGTTTGGATGAATACGCAGAATGTTGCTCACTCACCCAGAGACACAGCCAGACTGACTCACGAACGCGGGGCAATGGCGGGTGGATGCATCCAATACAGCCAATTTCCGAGTTGCCAGCCAAAATCCAGGACGGAATTTCGACCAAAGAAGCAGCCGAAATCCAATTTGGCTGATATCTGGGGTTCCACTGTATGTCATGAATGCATAAAATATATGTAGATACTAGCCTCTTTTATCATTTACTATCATAAAATACGTATACACAAATCTATTAGAAAAATTTAAAATTGATCAAAACTTAGGCACATAAACAATTACAGATCTTACATGTTCCATTCACAGTTGAGAGAAATGTAAACAAAACAAGATGCAATAATTATAACGGGCTTGTTTGGTATTCTGGTAGCGGGGTGTGAATGATACGTCTTTTGGAGGCTTCTTCGTTTATTGTTAATGTCGTAGTGGGTACACAGGCTTATGTGTTTGTGCCCATGGCCGGGCAGGGCCATGCCACGAGAGAGAGCTGGGAGGCCTTGTGTCTTTCTGCTAGGCCGCTGTGTGAGTGAGGGTGAGGCAAGTCTGGCATACTGAAGTGGCAAGGCCTATAGGTGGCAGCACCAGCATGACGCGAATATGAACTAAGCTGGCAACAGCATGGGCTTCTGTGCAGACAGTACAGGCTGTCTACTACG